TCTTGAGTACATTATCAGCTTATTAATACATTTCACTTATGTTTTGTATAACAACATTCTATTTCTTAATAAAAAGATGTTTCAAAGCAAACACAGGTCGTTTAGTTCTCTGTGCATTCTGATATACAATCCAAGACGGACTCATCATAGGTACCAAAAAATGGCTTCTACTTTACAGTAATATCGATGTCTCGTCAACCTTTTCATGTGGGAACGAACTCTCCCATATTTGACTTCTACTACACTGTCGATAAAGAAGTAATTTTCGTAACTAAATTCCGGATAACGCCTCTTTATGGCTTTAACAAGATAAAGATAGATGACGGATCTGCAGATGTCGACCTCGTGGCAACCAAATAAAATACTAATAAAACACAGATTAGTAGCATAATACGATTTATCTCTAAATAATACATCCCCGTTTATATCTATGAGAGATTTAACGAGACGTTTTTGATACATATTTTGAGGTGAATAGACATCAATATTGCTGTAATGGTACACGTTGCATATATAAGATACAGTCTAACAAAGTTAAAAAGAATTGTACAAAGGGGGATAACTCCAGCTGTACTGGAACGTTGCTAAGTACTGTTCGAATTCGTCCTGGTACTGCTGCTTAGGAGTTCTCTGATAAGGGTGAACCCGTGGACCGTTGTTCTATGAAGAATGAAAAATGATATTGTATTGATAAAATTACGATTTTGAAATCCGATTTTTTTTTTCTGTTTACACTGAAATACTCACATTTGTCGATTTGGTGTTAGGTTAATATACAACCCCATTGTCATGTAAGAAAGTGTAATACGATTATACACATACAATATTGGTTCTCGTGTAATAAGAATGCAATCACAACCGATAATAAAAGTAAGATACTTACCAACAAGTGTAGCTTTTGCTGGAACTTTTCCTTCAGACTTTCCAGACCCAAATCGTCAAGCTCACTCCAGCTTAGAGGTAAATAGTATTTCCTATCCTTCTTGTTAATATGAATAAAATGCTCATTGACTCCAGGAAAGTAGTTGCATGCAATGGTGATATGAGCATTGACTCTCATAACCAGATTTTTTTCTATTTTGCCTCCTTTTTCAAACTCTTTCACTTCTATAACCCCGTAAAGACTTTTTTAAGCCATTTTTAGCGCTAAAAGTGACGGTTAGCGGTGTTGGCGCGCTTTTTATATAGCCGCTTTAGGTGTGATACGGGGTAGAATCGGAACAACCAATGAAAAGTTTATGGAATGTTGAACATGTCAGTTTTCTTCAGAAGGTGTGTTTACAGTTACAAGAAACATCACATTTCATTAAAATGGTACTCCTTATATCGATCATATGATAAATAAGACGATGCTGGTCTTGTGAAAAAATAAAATTCTGGGTGTGTTCCGATTCTATACCTCAACCGGTTGACTAGGCATCGTTGCTGAACTTGCAAAATTTTGGAAACTAAGATATTTTTTCTCACAACACTCTTGCATCATTAAACAAGAGGCCCATGTGCCTTAACGGTCACCTGATATATTTATACAGAGAGTTGATATTGTTTTTAACACGAACAGAAATATTATTCAGTGACAAAAAACAATAAAACCACCTTATTCAATATCTAGCATACATATTTCAGACTAAAAAGGATTTGAAACTAGCACCTCTGATTCTTAACGAGGAAAATGAATTAGTGTTAGCACACTGACTACTTTGAGCCTCACCCTACAGCCCTTGGGGGTAGGGCTGGCTCAAAATTTTCAAAGTATCAAACTGTCGATTCAAGGTTATAATTCCAATCAAGTTATTAACATGTAATATTCAAAGTATCATTTGCCATTATAAACCAAAATAAATTTTGCCCCCCCCCCCTCCTTCCCCAGGGGGTAAACGTGAGACCCTAGGGGCATAAACCTTAAGACCCTCCCATCTATGAAGATTATTTGATTCTACCATATCTGGGTCTTGAGAAGAAGATTTTTGAAATTTTAGTCAATTTGACCCTTTTTTGCCTCGCCCCTCAGGCCCCTGGGGGCTTAGGACTAAACCGGCAACTATTTTTGTTGACCTTTGTCCATCGAACGTTGCTGCAAATTTCATTGAAATTGGTTCAGTGGTTTTGGAGAAGAAGTCGAAAATGTAAATTGTTTACGGACGCACGACGGACGACGACGGACAAAAGGCGATCGCAATAGGTCACTTGAGACTTTGTCTCAGGTGACCTAAAAATAAATAAAAAAAGCATAACAATGAATGATAAATTAGACGGTGTCAGAATTCAAATTACTTTCATTAATAGGTAGATATAAGAGTTATGTGTATTTACTACAGCTCGTGAATAAATGTGGACGTATTTTTTACATCCATAATCCCACATCAAAGAGTAATATTTATATTGAATGTTTAACCCCGAGTTACCTATCACCTCCAATATGGTGTAATGCTATGACAGTACCTGATCTATCACCTCCACTTAATACTAATTATTCAATCGATGTAGTTATTACTTTAAATACAAAGGAACTAATAAAAATATAGTTGTAAAATATCACTTGATATCTTCTATACTAGTCAGATGATCTTTTTTGCCTATTCTATCACTTCAATTGATACTAATTTTTTTCCCAATCGATAAAGTCATTATTCTTAAATTTAATGATAATGACACTTAGAAGCACAGGTTATTGCTATCATTATGATTATTTCAACCGGACGCTTCCGGGTTGACCTTTTTGGTGACCGACTGACCTTTCGTGCTAATTCGTAAAACGCACGTGCAAAGCCATGACTGGACTAGGTCAATACATCATGGCAGCACTTGGTTTAGTAGTCGTGTTTTTGTTGTTCCTGTCGACGACACAGGGGTGTATTAACATCCCTTTGCTCTTTGCCTGTGTCGTCGACAGGGACGATACTGATTTAAATGTATTTTCTTGTACCAGCGACGAGACCTGGCCTGTTGAGGAAGCGAACACTTTCACCTTATGTTGTGGCCCACCACCCCCCGACCAGCCAGCCATCACCATCAAGGCTTGGAGAGCTGGAGACCGTCTCCTGGGGGACTGTATATACTACAGTCCCATCATACATATATACCCCCGGGAGGCGGTAGATTGCACCCTACTGCAGGGGCAGGTGATCGGTTGTGTAAGTAATATCTATGCGTTCTTAATTCTGAGATATATATTTCCAACTGCTTATTCAGTACTCCAAAATTACTGCAGACCATGAGTCTATACATAATTCACTTGAATTATTTGTAACAATACTAATGTTGATAAAAAAACACACCCGACGGCTGGGTAATAACTTCATTATAATATGTGTGTTACAGTATAACGCCTCTGCTTCTCTCTTACTGTTTATATATATTTCATATCTATTAAGGTCAAAAATTGAAAATCAAGTGGCATACAAAACTCTTGACCTCTGTTGTACAAGGGCCACCACCGGAGCCACCGCTGGATTCACAGAGACCGCCGCCGGGACCACCGGAGCCACCACCACAGAGGCCGCCGGGACCACCGAAGCCACAACCACAGAGGCCGCCGCTGGGACCACTGGAGCCACCACCACAGAGGCAGGCTGCCGCCACCACCGGGGCTAACGTCGCCATCGGGACTACCGCCCTGAAGTCGAATTTTCTCTCAGTGAGAAATAATATATCCAATTGTAGCCATTGCAGTCTTCATGGTAGTAAACCGGCGGAGACGTCGTCGCTACAGGATGAGGGAGGACTTGGAAGTGTGTAAGTATAACATTTCACATAAATTCGTGATATTGAAGCATTTCTATTTTTTTAACCTGTAATATATGCGAGTTTTCTCCCCTAGATCGATGATGAACTAAACTGTCCTGTATGTGCTAAACAAGAACTTTTTAGTGCAAACATTTAGCACTTAAAGATGATTTTATTCTAATGTTTTATTGAGATATCTCTCCTTGTATTATCAAACATTTGTTTTTTATTTAGTTTCCATCACAGATACTAATGCAGGTATGATAATTCAGGTTTGAATTCCAGAAGATAATTAAAACATGTTTTCCGCTCGGTTTAAAGGGTTAACTGTCTCTAATCAACCAGTTTGAAATGATATCACTGTTAAATAACATTTCATAATCACTACTTCTGTTATTTCAAAGCTCTAGTAATGTGTATATTTACATTGCAGAGGAATTAAGGATGGATGAGGCACCCTCCATCGCCTCTACCAGCCTTACCTCCATCAAAGAAGGTACTTTTATACATATATTCGCAGTTCATGCTCATTCTGAACGATAAAATTCTCAGTTTGTATTAAATGTCTACATAGCGGAGGAATACTTTGCCATTGGGGAGGTCACAATAATTGAATTTTGAAGACATACTGTTTGGATTCTTTAAATTGTAGAGGAGACAACGGTGAAGATGGAGCAGGAGGGAGATTTGTTTGAAGGTATTTAGATATACTTTTTATCATTTATTCCATATATTCACAATCAATTATTGCCATCAGAGTTCTCTGTTTTCGCTCTAATTTCTTTGATTTAATTACTTGATATGATTAAAATAGTAGATTCTCTGGCAAAATTACTACCCCCTCCTCCTCTTCAGAGTACTCTGTAGCCTCCCCAGAGAGGTCGCCAGGTAAGAATGTATATTGATTTTTTTTCTTCACCAGTTTTGAATGTGTAATAATGGTGGTTTACAAGATTTATTTTACCATCCAATACAATGGAAAAAAGTTTCTAAAAGATTGTTTTATGTTTTAGTTTTGGAAGTGAAGGTAGAGGTTGAGGAGCGTCCCCGCTACTTCCTCCGTAGCCACTTTGACCATTAGCAGTCGCGCTACCACTGTGGACAATTAAAAAGAACTATATGTATATAAATTCATTCGGGAATCTGTGTCTCTTTTTGGTTTGTTTTTTTGTCATGTGTCTTTCATATGTGTGAGGGTGGACGGGTATGGTCTGTGGGTGTATGCTTTCAATGCGATATTGTTTTTAATATTTAATCAATACTCGGTGTGATGTTTACATTGGAAATGGAGGTGGAGGTAGAGGTGGAGGAGCGTCCCCGCTACTTCCTACGTAGCCACTTTGACCATTAGCAGTCCCGCTACCACTGTGGACAATTAAAAAGAACTATATGTATATAAATTCATTCGGGAATGTGTGTCTCTTTTTGGTTTATTTTTTGTCATGTGTCTTTTATATGTGTGAGGGTGGATGGGTATGGTCTGTGGGTGTATGCTTTCAATGCGATATTTTTTTTAATATTTAATCAATACTCGGTGTGATGTTTACATTTTGTGATGTACCATTATTGTGATAATTTTTACACCAATGTTTATGATATATATATTTTACTGTGCTTGTACCATTGTTTAAATATATTTCATTGTGATTTTAAATGTTAGTGATTCTACGTGTCATACTCAGTGAGAAATGTTGTGATAATTTTTACACCAATGTTTAAGATATATTTATTTTACTGTGCTTGTACCATTGATTATATTTTCTTGTGATTTTACCGATGTTAAAGATATATTTCTTACTGTGATTATACCACTGTTTAAGTAAGTGTAATTTATACATGTAATCAATTCTCTGGGAGAAATATGTCTATTTTAGTTACTGTGACGCGCTAAATAAATGTTTTGATTCATAATCTATGTGTTTCTTATCCTTAGTTGTACGATTCATATATATATAACATGTCTATAGAAGTTCCACAATAGCAACTAACTTTACGATGTAGTCGTTACCCGATAGTTTTCCTGAAGGATTCAGTTGTTATCATGCAACGTGTTGACATGGACTATCAAATTACAGAGATGTAGGAATAAGTTCGACAAGATTTATTTTGTGAGTATTATGGATTTAATCTGTTGTTACTTTTGTTTCTACTAATATTTATATTAATTATAACAAGAGATCGTCTCGATTCCATCTTCATTTATCACATCTATCAATCAAGTCTTGGTAGATGTGATTTTACAGGCTTTGGACTGTCTGACATAAAATATCAGGCTGGATTAGAGTCAACCGTCCGTCTATCAAGTCGGTTAAAAGTTATAAAACACCATTGTTTTATTGAGACTGGCAGGTCCAAATTTTGTTTCGTTTAGTTCAATATTAAAGGTGCCATATGACATGATCTCTTTCATTTCTTCGAATAGTCTCAAGGTTATCACAGGCACTATGTTTTGTTTCATACTACGACAACAGGATGCATCTAAGAAAAGTCCTTCCCTTTCAATTCTAACAGTCTCTTAGTTCACCGTGTAGAATTATAGGTCCATCGGACGGTATTGCTTCTCTAACGTCAATGATTACCTTGATGGAGTCGTTTATAGTGTTGTGTATCAACAATGCAGAAATGTGAACAGTTTCTGTCTCATGGAATGATGAACAATATCATTTTTCATTACTTCTCCAGCTGTATGCTACACGTTTGCAGCTACGATTATCCATACTTCTAAGTGTGTGTATGTCCAAGTTTATATCTGAACTGTTGTCACACAACTAATGCATCAGCTATCTACAGTGACCAAGTTTGGGGTATATTTCGTGCCATGGCTTGATATTGTGTTGGTAATATAATTGTTTGGAGTCGGCTCGTATCACCGTGTCATTTAAGTTAGATTACAGTGTCAGGAATTCGTCTTTTCACTTGATGATATATTTGCTGTTGATAATTTTACGTATTATTTTTGTTTAGAGTCGGCTCGTATCACCGTGTCATTCAAGTTAGATTACAGTGTCAGGAATTCCTCATTTCACTTGATGGTACGTTCTGTCACAGCGTTATCTTTATATCGACAGCCGTACCATCTAGATTTTTTCTCTCATTTTATTTACTGTTTGAGGTTGGCTCGTATCAGTTACATACTGGACCGATATCACGCAAGATCTGTGTTGCATGGACTGTTGCATGGACCGTTGCATGAACTGTTATATGGACTGTTTAATACTGCATTGACTGTTACATGGACCGTTGCATGAACTGCATGAACCGTTACATGGACTGCATGGACTGTTATATGCACCGTTGCATGGACCGTTTCCCCCTTGGTTTAACATTAGCATGGACCGTTGCATGAACTGCATGGACTGTTACATAGACCGTTTAATACTCTTAAAATACTACTACTAGTGCCAACCGGAATTGAAATCCGCGAACGACTGAAAACGCGAAAGGCGAAACAAATCTACAATCGGCACGCAGGACCACCACTCCAAAACTTATATCCGGGAGAAAAAGTTGTGATGAAACACAATGGCAATTGGACTCCAGCAACTGTTGTCGCTAAGCACAAAACTCCAAGGTCATATGTGATAGTCTCGACTTATAATTGCGCTTCAGTGTTTCACTAGTTACTGTGTTAATGTGTTTTAAATGTTATAACAACAACGAACTCGGTAATCATACAAGTAGTACTTACCATATAGTTTAGTTCAGTAAAAGACTATGGACATTGTTAAAGTGTTTAATTTGTTTATCAATACTTCATTTATAATACAACTAAATAAGTAATTAGTCAGTTAATGTCACATTTAACTAATTTCAAAATACATCCTACTAATTACAACCAAAGTTCTTAAAAAGAGGAGGATGTAATATATGGTCATATACACATATTTGTCAGGTCTTTAGTGTCAACCTAATTATCTACGTCGCATACACGCTTCACTTATGCCATCCTGTACAAACGTTCTTGTGACCTGATTAAATATTCATTGTTGTAACCTGACGCCATCTTGATTGTCTGTATCATCGAAGCCCAACTAAAAGACACAACACCGTGGGCCTCCCTATATTGGGCCCCGCTCTTCAGCCCCCATAGGGTCAGACACACCATTTATACAAAATGTGTTCCCCTTTCCCCCCAAGGATGCTTCTGACCTAATATGGAACAAATCCTTTCATTCCTACAGAAGGAGAAGGTTTTTAAAGAATTTGCTATATTCCCCTATTGGGCCCCGCATCCCACCATTTATACTAAATTGAGACCCCTTTGCCTGGGGATGCTCCAGACCATATTTAGTCTAAATCTACTGTGCCATTCAGGACAAGTAGTTTTTTAAAGGAAAAGTTTACGGACGGACAACGGACGCTGCGCCATGGCATAAACTCACTTGCCGTTCGGGCAGGTGAGCTAAAAATGGGCGAACTAGTCGTCCAACTCGTCTAAACTGCAGGAGTAGAAACTCACATTTTTACAGACTCTGGTATGTCTCGGCTAGGGGACATAACCCAAAGCCTTCCTCACAGGGGCGAACGCTCAACTTAATGCCAAAAGCGAGGCATTGTCAAGGGAGACCTTGCCATGTATTATAATGGTTCGTTATACGTAGTTCGAGTAATACTATCTGATTCACATACATGCTTAACACAATATATCACCAAGCCTACCTATGTTAAACATTCAAGTGACCGAGATTAAACGGAATATATTAGGCCATCATCGTGTTAGTTGTAGTTATGCATCATGGTGTCAGAATCGGTCCGAATCTACGTAAGGCGAAAAGAGAACCCGAAAAGTATGCCTGCCTAATGATATCGTCAGGAGAAAAGGGCAGAAACATGTTCATAACGTGGAACCTTACAGAGGATCAAAAGAAAGAACTTAAGTATTATTATGAACGTTTTGAACAATATGTGAAACCACGGTCAAATGTGATTTATAACAGATATAAATTCCACAATTAATCACACGGTGAAAATGAAACATTTGAACAGTTCACAAAGCAATTACAAATTGCAGTGAGAGATTGTAACTATGATCATTCGGATGAAATGGTCCGGGATCGGATTGTTATCGGTGTGAGAAATTCGAAAATAAGAGAAAAATTCATTAACATTGGAAACGATCTAACACTTGTATAAACTCTCGACATAGCAAGTACACACAAACTGTCGCATGCCCAGTCAAAGTCAATGGCCAGGGAAGATGCGAAAATATATGCACTCGCCAAAGCCAAACAGCATCAGTTTAAAGACAGTAGTGCTAGTAAAACTTACCGTAATAAAACGAACAAACTCAAACGCCCAGTGAAAGCGAAGGAAAATACTTGTTCAAGGTGTGGATATTCATACACCGGAAGTGGTTTACATGAAATCTGTCCAGTAGCGGGGTCGATTTGCACAACAGAAGACTTCCGATTATGGAAGATGCGTCTTCTGTGCGTTCGATTTGACCTCTTATCTACTCGGAAGTTCTTCTGTCGCTTCCAGCCAGCACGTGGAAGACGAAAATCAGCAGAGGAAAAAACATGGCGGACAACAGGTGAGCAAACGCTTAAGAAAAGAGATTAGTAGGAAATTTACTCAATTTCTTTCAATGACAATGCCATTTTTACACAAAGTATCATAAATAACGTTAAAATATGCTTAAATGAAGAAATAATCTTAATTCTGGTAAGTATATTAGCAGCTGATTAGCATTACTAATGCCATCGCAGGAGTGATTAGCATTACTAATGCCATCGCAGGAGTCTGACCCGTTTTTCAATCCTGTTTACTTCAGCTACATGCACAGGGGCATGTATCGATATTATTTTTAAAAGATCAGTACTATGTGTGGTACCAGCGTGTATA